ATGAGCTGCCCAGTTTGATTGATATGAGATTTAGAATCCTGTATGATGTAGTTTATCCTCAACGGCGACGACCTGTGCGCCGATGGTTCAAGGGTACAGTGCGTGATATGCGTGCCTCAGGTCGGGTTGACGTTGAATGGGATGATGAGCCCGGTGAGATCGAGACTCTGGATTTCTGGGCCTGTGAACATAGATCGGTGTTATGAGCTTTGCTCTCTTTCACCGAGTATTATCGTTTTAAGTTTATAACTTTCAAGTTTATAGTATGGTAGACTTTGGACAGCCTGCGTGACACCGGTATTGTCACGGGCTTGTGCGTACGTACGGATGCTTTAGCTAGAACCGAACATGCGAGTTCGGTGCAATCTGTTCTTGCCAAGTGTCGAGAAGTCCGTAGCCATCTTGGCTCAAGTTCGAGTTGTGTTTCGATAACCCTCGTTAATCCTATCACAAGTTGTTGTGCATTCACGTCCAGGTTCGACCCATCTCTCAATTTTCGAGAGTTTAGAACCCACAGGATATCTGGCAGTAGATTATACCAATTGGCCGACGAACCTTGATGTGAACGTTCAAGCTCTAATAGGCAACTTCACAATGCTCCATGTAAGACTTGATAAGGACGTTCATACCCTCCTCCTAAATGAGGACTGTACCGAGGAACTAGCTTATGACAAATACTCACTTTAGTACAGTACTCTGAAAATATCTTACTTACAAACTGCTTACCATTGTCCGTTATTACTATATACGGCACACCAAGCAATTTGCAAGTGTCCATGAACGCAGAAGTAACACTCCGAGCAGACATACCCTTCAGAGGTCTTACGCTCATGAACCAGCAATATAAACAAGTCGTTGTTAACAAATATTTATAGCCAGTAGAACTCTCAGGATAAGGTTAGGTTATATCAGCACCCACTAAATACCAAGGCCTAGGAATGATTTTTGGTAACCCAGGGATTAAAGCAAGCTTAGCCCTTCCTTTGACCAACCGACATATATCACAGCTCCTCACATAAATTCTGACCTGACAGGTCAGACCTGTCTGCTTATACGTTTTCACCAATGGTGGCTCAATAAAGATTGTACAGTAGCAGACACACCAGCATGAGCTCGAGCTTTATGATAACACTCAACCAAGGCAGAAGTCAGTAGATCACCTTTTGGTAACACCAATTGTTTGTAGTGGTTACCCTGAGCATCTTGTCTGACTTGTCTATAAAGTAACTCAGACTTCTTATCCAATACATACTGATTACTCCACACTCGTTGAGTACGAATGTCGACCCCTTCAGATTGATCATTCTGCAACATTCGGGTCATCATTCGCGAAAATATCTTCAGTAACCGAGAGTCAGACTGCATCACAGTACAGACGAACTCAGTGCTAGGCTACGCAGCTGCCACACAGAGAGACAGTATCAGCGCATGATAGGCCTATACACAAAAGATGTCCCAACATCCTCGTAGTGAGCGGCTTCCAAGCTTCATGAGTCTCCAGCGAGAATGCTTTTCCTAGCGTCTTCACTACATTTGGATATGCAGCTTCAGCTTCGGTATCATCATCAATGTCATCAACAGTTTTTCTGGACAGAGCAAAGTCACCCACCCCATCATACGGGTTGAGCACGCTCTTGAGTGTGAAGGGCACCTGGTTGAGTCTGGGCACCAAATGTTGTAGATGCCCATA